AATACTTATTTAACATAAGTACTAAAAAAATACATCATAAAGACTGATACTAAACAATAATTAATGGTAGTTATGTTAATAAACTGTCTAATAAAATGTGTTTATAAAATATAGTGTTTACTTACCAGTAATTTAAGTAGTATACCTACTAATAACCGAATATGAAGTCTATCCGCCTTGAATGTTGTGTTGAAAATAATCGAATGTCTAATCAGAATAAACCTATTTTTTACTCGGTCGCCCTCTATTTCATAGTCCCGAAGAAAAATAAACAATTATTACATAATTTTATCTTTTGGATAGAAAAAGTTTTATTTTTGTACACATAATGCATAGTACGTACGACTATATTATATAAAAATATTCACTGTGACTGGTTTATAATTAGACTATCGTTCCAATACGAATCGATCGTCACCCTTAATCCTTATTCGTATTAAATATATAATATCTGTATGTATTGTGCGTGTAGTGTGTGTACGCCGTGCGATCAAACGAACCACGAGCGATTATTAATAATTATTACGACTTAGCAAAAAAACAAATTAACAAAATATGTTATCCATGTTTAGTATTTAGATAATAGATCTACGTTCCGGCAGTCGTTCGATAATTTACTTGGACGTTTATTGTTATGTATTATAAAATAAAGAAGAAATTATATTAACAAGAATATTATTATACTTAAATATTAAACATTTTTTTTCCATCCTTCAGAGTAATCACGGTACATTAGAAAATCAAAAAGAAACTTAGAGTATTCTCAATAAAATATTGCCTTAAAATTGCCGCCCCTAAAAATTTGCCGCCCTAGGCAACTGCCTACTTTGCCTGACGCTAAATCCGCCACTGCCTACAACTGTGTGAAAAAATTATAAAATAAAATAATTGGCAATAAAATGAATTAACATATTATTAGGTACATTAGGTAATCGAATAAAAATTACTATAGTCTATATAGTCTTATATTATATAATAATAATAATAATAATAATAATAATAATAAATATAATGATTATGATAATAAAATTTGCATTCATGAATATGTCAAAAATTAAGATTAATTTTAAATTGTACCTATGATATTTGTAACGACATATTTTTCTACTGATTGGGTGGCGTTTTGAATTATAATATATTAAACAAAAAACAACACTGGTTTATCTTTATTTCAAAAAAACAATTATGAATAAAATAAAATTTACATTGAAGAGTGAAGACTATAAATATTAAAATTTTTCAAACAAATATTAATTTTAATTTGTCTAAGGTAATAATATATTTTAAATCATTTTATTGCCAGTTATTTAATTTTATTATTTTTTCACACATTTATAGGTAATAATTTTTATCAAAAAGTCGCATTTTCGGATACAATCATATTTAATTAAATATAAAAATTGTTAAGTTCAGGTGTTATAATTGTAAATTTTAAAGAAAACTGTACTGGCCAAGAGTGACAATAGCTGAAAAGGGAAGGTTCATTTTGGCAGAAAACGGTGAAGCCTTTTGGAATATATTCCAAGGTATATTCATAGGTAGTTATTTTATAGTAGCGGACAACATAATATAATAATAGTGTTAGATATAAAAATAAAAAATCTTATGAATTTCTAACTGAAAAATAATTTACAATATTTAGAAAATGTCTCATGGCTATAAATAGATCAAAAAGAGTCAAATCTGTTTGAAAATTTTACCATTCATGGAAAATGCTAATATAAATATTTGGTGAACATTTCAAGGGTTATGGTTGGTTTTGCATAAAAATATTACCACTCTGTTTTTATCGACACTTTATTTTTATTTGCAATTTTCAAATTTTACCTCTCAAAAGTGCTAACTATATTCACTTTTCTAATAGAAAAGATGATGATCTCGAAAATCGGAGTATTTTTACTACTCTAAATTTTTCTGACAGAAAAAAAAATTGTGGGCTGCCCATGGCCCATGAGACACCCGGTAGAAACGAAGTTTCTTTTCCAACAAATATTATAGATTACAAATACATTTTAGTGGAACCATTCAAAATAAAAGTAAATATCAATAAGTAAATGTGAAAAGTAAATGAAAATGATTATTATTAATATTTAATTAGGTACTGTTATATTAATCATATTCAATAATCGAAATTACAGGCCTGGTAGGCCCTATTTTTATGTGCAACACGACACACTATGTGTACTACGAATGTACAAGTTTGCCCTACGATTTAAACGTATGTGCACTACGGTATACAAAACAAAAATTAAATAATATACCAGCTACAAGGAAATATGAGTATTTCCTGATTTTTTTTAAATTTAAATTATATTAAATTATAATTATTTTTATCAATTTTCAAACATTGTTATCTGTTAAAATATTTTTTATTGATAATAAAAAAATTATAACTCTAGTACTGGTAAAAGGAAAATATCCTCCCGAACTCCGCCTGTTGTATAACATTTCGTGATTAACCCCCCACACCCTCCAACCTTGTCGTGTAGGTTATATTAGGTCCAGTCCTGTATATATTATCTTAGTCCGTGGCTACAACTATAAACTTAAGTTTAAGGTCTATAGCTATAACCACGTTTAGCGTTTGGTATAAAAAAAAACGGTTGCCAAGTCAGGGATCGGCAAGTAAACTTTCTTGATTTTTAATTTTTAGAAATTTATTAACTGATGTCTCACCCAAAGTCCAAACGGTATAACAATTTCAATCCAGAAAAATGTAGGTGTGATCAGCCCCACAAAAATCATTTCCATTTTCATTTAGTCCGATAGATATCCGAAACCGGTGAGCGGATTTCGTTGTTTGGGGTCTTATTAGATTCACATTGGTTAGGAGAAGTGCAGTGAAGGGTATAGCATTGGTGAGTACCTAAATTAAAAAAAATGTTTCAAACCTAATAAACACCATAATAATATTTGAGATTGTTTATTCCTATGCAAAAAACAATTTTCAAAATATTTTGTGTTATTTTGAAATGTTTACAGACATTTCCAGTTTAAAACTTTTAAATTCTGAGCGGAGCGATGAATGTATTGATTTTACAATGATGTGTGTGTTTTTTTTTTGTTTTGTGTGTGTTTGTCATCACTTTTTAGAACAGTAAAAGTGCTTCGATTTTCTTCAGCAGTATCTTTTCTGAGAGGAAAGTGAATCTAGTTGGTACTTTGGGGAGTCAAAAGTAAAAATTTTCCAGTAGTTTTCAAAAGCCCCGTGATTAACAAAAGAAAAATTTAGGAAAAACGGGAATTTTTACACAAAGTCTGTTTTCGAAGAAATCGATTTTGGTTTTTGGTTCAACTTCAATAAAAATGACCGTAGGTACATGAAATATTGACAGAATGTTTATATTAGCATTTTCTATATACCATACGTCCATACCATTTAAAAAATATTTTGACTTATTTTGGGACATTTTCAGTTTCCAATTTTTGTAGTTTCTTATTCTATAATTTGTTGGTTAAAAAAGCTTGAAAATTTAATAGAAGGCTCAAAAGATTAAAAATCCTTAGTCACAGTTTTTTTATAAGCATTTAAAGTTCAAATCTTGACAAAATACGGAAAAATCAGGAAAATTAGAAAATTATTTTGAGTTGAGAATTCTTAAAAATTTTTCTTTTTAAATCTAAGATTTGAAAATGTCATACAAGATTACTCATAAGTTTATCTACCTTAATCAAAAAAAAATGTCTACAAGCAAATCAAATTAAATTTTTATGAGCCTTTGAAGTTCATATTTTTACAAGATTGGATATTCACTCGATTTTTCATGTAGCGGTTTTGTTATTTTATTGTTATTCAAAAACGAATAAAACTATAGATACATGACAATTTTACTGAATGTTCATATTTTCATTTTCTAGACACGAAAAAATTTGAAAATGTTTTGAGCTGTCAGTTTTCAATTTTCTTGGAAAAACAACGTTCCACTTAAATAGGTAAATATATAAATTACTATATTTACAATATCATCATCAAATATACTTAGTAATATCTAGGCTGATCTGTACTCAGTCAAATTAATACCGAATAATCAACTGTGAAAATTCCGAAATTTCAAAATATTCAAGCTAAATTTATAGATGTTGGGGGGGGGGGAATTGGAAAAAGTGAACTGGCCAATCTCAAGTAGACATAATAACGAATTCAAATTAGTTTTAAAAAGGATTATATTGTGATGACAAAATCAGGAACAAATATATATACATACTGGTATAGATCCAAAGTACGAATATTTTTTGTGTTAAAGTCTTAAAGACCCGAGCAAAAATCTTTATTACAACATTAAGTTGAATAAATTGTGGATAAGAGCTGCTTTGCTTCCATCATCCGCCCTTATTACATAATTGCATATGGCTTACACAATTGTTGCATTATCCTCAAGGCTATTTTTTTAAATTTTTTTTTTATACCAATTTCAATTTTAACTAATATTTAGGGGTAATCACTTATTTTTTTTTTTTTTAATTAACTAGTAAATGGATAATATTCAAACGAATTCAGCGTTCCTGTGAACAGCGTTTCTGGAATTGGAATGCCTCCGACAGATGGCACTGCGCGTGGAATAAACTTCAAGCATATTTGGTTACCGACTTGGTCACCCCTCCACCGTGTCCGTGGTACTAGGATACGCACGTTCCTCACGGTATCAGCAACAGCGGGCGACAGCAGCTGCAGCTATCGACCAACCTTCGGCGCGCGCGGATGTGGCGGCGGTTTTACGCGTATTTTTTTCCAAAATAACACATTCGTAGTCGGTGCGCTCACTCGATCGGTGTGACTGTGTAGTGTTGTATAGCAGTGATTTAATCGAAACGGTTTAGTGTGTGTCGTTCGTAATACTATACAGTGCGCGTGAGTTCGTTATACATACGGGAAAAACTTTTCTTATCTCGAGATTTGTAATTAGTTTCGAATGGCTTCGCAAAGTCCAGTGGTGTCTGAGTTCGCGGGATTTTCTTCGGTTTTCGTAGTTGTTGTTGGGTCACAGTGTGCGTAATAAACGATGACCGTAGGGCCCATGACACGGAACGGTGAATGTAAGAAGTTCTCGCCCAACATATTTAACAAGTCAAAATGTACCAATTGCTTCAGGCAGAAGGAGGAACACAGCGCCGAAGCTTTGGAGAGCAATCGGGTGAGTGATCGATATTATGATTTATTATACGATACCTATAGGTACCCTTCCATATTCTTCTGTGGCGAATGGCCCATCACCTAATTTTCGTATCCGATCGTTTGGAACGCATATGTGCACGTATTTACATTTTGTTTTACATAGGTACCTTAATCTATTGATGCACATAATAGTATGGTGACGATGTTAGCTAAAGTCCTATATGAATCATCATTTATATTTTATTACTATCTCTTCTAATAATATAAATGCCAGTAGACTTACGCAAGCTTAGGTAGATGCCTATAGGTGTAAATGTGTAGTAATACTGTAGGTACGTGGTTGTATATAGGTAGGTAGTGATTATGCGCACAAGTTCAATTGCACGTCGTTGCGAGGTTTCTTTAGAAAAATATTTTAGTGGAACTAACATATGATATTCATTATTTGTTTTTAATGCTTTTTTTTATTGAAGACGATTATTTTTTTATGTTTACAAGTACGTAATATTTTTATATATGGAACGTTTTGCAGTATGACAAAAATTGGTTCGATAATTTAAGCTGTTTAATGTAATTTGTTTGAACAAAATTTAAAAAATATTTATAAGAGTGTACAAATGCATAAGCATATAATATACAACACATATCAGTTTTACAGTCAAATACATACATGTCTCGTTTTGTTATATATTTTTTAAATATTTATTTTATATAAGTACTATTCACTACCCAGTATAAATTTGTATTATTTAATTTCAGTTATAGCAATACCTTTATATGTGAATAGTTCAAGTTCAACTATCGCGTAATAGGACGTGTTCACGAGTTGTTTTCACAGTATATGTTTTTTAATCCGCCAAGACGTGTTCCTTGTGTACCTATATGCAATCATTAAATATATAAGTGTAATTTCGTAATGTAGACGAATAAATTGAATGATATTAGTGAGTTGAGTTTTGAAATTTATATCATTGATAATAATATACTACTAATGGGACGAATTGTTTACAGTTTCTCGTTGGAGTTTGGTATAACGGGTAGATTCGCAAGTTATTAGGCCACCGGCTAGACGTGTTCGCATATTTCTTGGTGAAAAAACACGGCAATTTTTTTTTACGCCTGACTAATATCTTCTCAATTCATACGATTATAAATACTGACTTCGAGATAAGAGAGTATACTGTATTCATGTTCTGCAGAATATGAAGAAACCGGTTTTTTCAACGTTGGTTTCCTCTATGTGTACTTTAAAACTGTTTTTAGATCGACAGAACCTCGTATGCATATATATATATATACCACTGTCGCTATTCTGTTGGGCCAATCAAAATTGTTCAGATATCATTAGCCTAAACCGACCATCGTCAACACTATACCTATAATGATAGTGTGTTTTCCGACAGCTAGTAGTATATAATCTTATGTTGTAAACTTGTAACTTGTTGTATTAGTCGACTGTTTTCTTGATTATAAATGGATTTTATATGAGAACCAATTGGTGAATCCCGTTAAGTTTATAAAATGATACAACCGACGTAACCTGAAACTTCTCATTTGTTAAAAATCTGAGAAGGGTTTCTTTATCGATTTCACCAATTTGAAATTCAATAACGACTTCGCAATTATGATTTCATTAATTAATATTGAAATGAAAGAGAAAGTCTATTGTTTTCCACATTCGTAACTTATTACTACGATGTCATTTTTTCGGTTTCGCTTGAACATTAAACAATAATTAATCGCGTCGGATTACAAGTAGAAAGTCTGATAGTGTAGTCTGAATTTTTCGGTTTAATTCGAAATTGGCATACAAAATAAATAATTTCTGTTACCTATGTGTCATACTATTATAAGTACTATAATAGTGACATAGTGTGTAAATGTTTAAAATATAATTCAACATTTCTATGCAATTGTACTTTTTTCCTCTTGTCAAGGAAAGTTATTTGAGCTTTGAAGTTTGGTTTGATTTTTTTAAAACGATATCTTAAGCCTATAGCCTATAATTTATATAGTTATAACTATATAGTATATATACATCTGAATCCATTCAAAGAATTTCATCGAAATATATTTCAATATATTTAAATATATACTGATTCGAAGCTCAGATTATTTAGTCCGAAACTAATATTTTAATTAAGATTGTAATGTGTAAATAATTAGAATTGAGAAAGCATTCACGTTGCACGGGTCAGACTAACAGTTTTTTTTCTTCTTCGTTGTCGGCGGTTGTATTGGGTAACTATTTTTTATTCTTTACTCTACGTGAAAATTGAAATGCACGGATTTATGTAATTTAAATCAAACTAAATGACAAGGTAGAAGAAAAAACGAAATTGTTGAAACAATAATAACTGTTATTATTATACTGATGAAGGCGATTTCGGTTTTATGCAACCCAGATTCTCCGGAAACAATGCGACTTTACTTTCCACTCTTATATTGATATAGATTTGCGTGCAAAATATTAAAGTTATGAATGGAATATTATTGTAAAATAAAAATACTGTTTTTATCGATAATATCGGTTATAATATTAGTGGTTGAACAATGACGTTTAAAAAAAAAATGTTTACCACTGTAAGAATATACTTAATTTAATATTGATTTATCTGAGAATTTATCCTTCTTGATTATTTTATTAATCATTTAAAATTATAAAATATTTTTTTATGATAACCATGTTGAGAATGAATAGATTGAATAGATTGAATAGATAAATGATTAATTTAATCTAGAATTAGTATTTTCACACTGGCATACAATATTAATAGCCTTGATACATTACATGTTTATTACATGATAATATTGATGGTTAAATCTTTGGCGAGAATATCATCGAGGATTTAGTATCTTACAATGACAAGATGCAGGACTAATTAACTACTATTTATTTTTTTAAATCATTCATTAGTAAAACAAATATAAAAGCACGCAATTGTCAATTTTTAAAAATAAAAAATGTTACCTACTTATATCTTGATATAATAATCTTTATTCATAAAAAAATTACCTTCTACAATTTCGAAAATGTATTGTTCAAATCTTGTTTTAATTAATTTTTTTGTGAACTACACATTTTATTTTAAAGTAGGTAGTTATACATAGATTTCTAAATTATTTATATTTTATAAATATAAATTTAATTTTGGTGGTATAATATAATTAAATTTTATATTTTTTTGAATCTTAATAAAATATATAGTCGTCTATAGACTATAGACCACAGTGGTAATATTAAAATTATTTTATTTATCTAGTGCTGGTGGTCTTCAGAATAGAACTCTGATGATTAAACGTTCAAATGACAACTGTAAACATTGGTGATTACTGATTTGTTAGACAAACTATCAAACCATGAAATTAGAATAATTTGGTGAATGGTAACCGGGATAGTAACCTAATAATTTAAAAACTAGAAAATTCTAGACTTACTTTAAAAAATAAAAGTGTAGATTTATGAACTGTAGATAATACATATGAAGTAAAAAAAATTATTATTCTTTAAGTTCATACCTTGTGAGGAGGAAAATATTTTCAAATGTACCTATAATATCGTATCTATATATGTTATTATATTAATATTTTATACCAACCTGCAATATATACATTTGTTTGAGAACATTACATTTTAATTTTAAATTCCATTTGAATATTTTCAAAGTAATCCATGACAAATTTAAAAGATGAATTAATATATTATTATGATGGTATCTTTCATTACCTAGTGTATTTCTCTATGTTCTTTGAGAATTAAAAACCATTAGGTATCGTAATTATTTTGTAATAATATATAATAATCTGATATTCCATATCCATGTAAATAGCTCATATTAATATATATATTTTATAAATATATTAATCTTTTGACTTATTCTATAGAATACATAGTACATTCTGTGCATAGTATTTACTATTTTGTCACCGAAGTTTCAACGTTTGAATGTTATAGGTAGATGGGTAATTATGTTGGAGCTTTTACCTTCTGTATTACAGCATGTCCAATAAATCATTATTTGTATCCATAGTAAACATTTAAATAATTCTTGGGAATATATTTTCTACAATTGGCAGGTTACACTTCTATTTGCTTCGTACCTATTGTTTTGAATTTGATCTTCCATATTCATATATAACGTCATTACCACTAGTGTATTTTTGTTCCAGTCGATAAAGGTGAAAATATTACGTATCGAATGTGTATAATATATATTATTGTTTACAAGCGCGAAAAATATTGTCTACTAATCCTATAAAAAAGTAGGTTAGGTTAAAACTCTTGTTTAGAAAATGTTGAAAAAATGCCCAACAACAACGAGGAAAGAACAAGGTACAAATTAGTAAGAGAAATCAAACCAGACGTTGAATAGGAAACCCATAACGGGTCAGGACTCGTAGATCTGTCCGTCCGTCTGTCTGTTGCAGCGTTGTCGTCATTCAGCAGAACAGACCACTGTGAGTGAGCAGCAGGCTGTATGCTGTCGTCGTTGCGCGTACCGGTATCTGAAATCGGTTTCGTGATGTATACCAGATCATCCCCGGAAAGTGCGCACAATGTAGTAACGCAAACTCCACTAAACGTGTATTATTTTATTTTTATTTTCCGCCAAAAAAGCGATTACGATTATTACGTTTATACATTGTGAAGAAACAGAAGAATACATAATAAAAAGATAATCGGAATTAATAATATCAATAAGTCATACTCATATATGAGGGGTGGAAATCCAAAACGTACTATTGCCAAAATTGACAAAGTCTAGTTAGGTATCGATTCTTATGGAAAAAATATCTATACATCAATTGGCTTCGTCAGAATAGATCAAAAGTACTATTTCCTGGTCAAATCTGCGATTCAAAATGACTGGTTAATGCAAAACGAACCTTTTCCATTCATAAAAATGATATTTAGAAAATCAAAACGTACTTTTTCCAGTTTTACGACAAAACATACTAATGCCCATGTTAAAAGAATAGGAAAAATCATTAACTATATCAAAACTAACTATTTCCAAA